AGTAATATGCATTGCTAAGACCTTCATTTGGACAACTTTAAAGGCGATTTTCTCAGCATTTTGACTTTTTTTGCACCATATTCCAGATATTCAAATAGTTGTATCTCGGCCAAATATTGCCATATCCTATTTATTCAGCTTTCAGATGATGTATAAATCTCAATTTTGAAAAATTGACACTTAAGACTGGTTTTGTGGTCCAGGGTCACATATTATTAGTATATTGGCTGTAGGCAAACACTGAAGGACTACAACCACTCTCCGATTCATTAAGCATGTAAACTCACATCCCCGTAGTAGTTGTAGTCCTTATTTAGCAACTTCTTAGCAATTTACACTACCGTTCAAAAGTTTGGGGTCAGCAAGATTTTCTAAAAGAAGTCTCTTAGAATGTGCATTGTTCTGGATCAAAGTTTTTTGACTGGATCCCAATTTACATACTTTTACAACATACTAATTTCATTTATGCACTTAAATTTAATTAATGACCTCAAAACTGACTGCTTCTTGCACATTGAAAGCATGCAGTTTTCCATGGAGATATTTCTTGGAGGTAAACTGCAGAAACTACAGTTCAAAAGTTTCTGGTCAGCAAGAGTTTTTTTTTAATGTTTTTGAAAGTATGTAGGTAACACTTTATTTTAAAGATCAATTCTCATTATTAAAGGGGTCATATGATGCGTTTTCATGTTTTACTTTAGTGTGTTTTGTAGCTGTTTGTGCATGTATAAGATCTGCAATGTTATCTAAAAGAGAAGGCTGATCCAGACCGTCCGAAAACGCCTCGATTGAACGCTCCCTCATATATCTACATCACTATGTGGAAATATTTGCATAATACCACCCAAATGGATACGCAAAGAAAGAAGGCGTAGTTTCAGGTATCACAGTAGTGTTGTTGCCGCCATGCCGTGAAGACGCTTTGTGTTTCTATGCGAAAGCAAAAGCACTTTTTTTGGCCTTCCAAAAGTGGACGCAATTAGGAGTCAGTGATTAACATTTATTTACAACACTGTCCCAGAATAGTACAACCCAAATGTTCGAGTGTGTGCAGCACAAATCACGGAGGAAAGTTTCCTGAATCTAGGAGAGTACAAGGCCGGCTGTGCAGAAAGGCTGTTTATAAAAAATGGGGCAATTCCAACTTTGCTCGGACAATCTGGTGCTTCTGAATCAGAGCACGTTAGTATGTTTTATAAATTGCTATTGACTGTTCAAATGCTGAGTTTGGTGAAGTGTATAACACATATTGTATGTCATTATGATCACAAGTGCAGACAGAGATGGATTTATGTTTACAAATGTAGTATCCTCTGTTCTCTGCTTATAACTGGCGGCAAAAAGACGGCAAACACGATTCACTTCGTGTTCTACTTCACACTGGACGCTCAAGCAGAGCTGAAGCAGGACGTGCCCGTTGTGATATAGTAAAACTGACAACCTTTTTAACTATTCTTATAATTGCTTTGGAAGCTAAAGCTCACGATTATGGTAAGGGACGTTACATTTCCGACACATGCTTGAGATGTTCGGCCAATCACAACGCACTGGGTCAGCTGGCCAATCACAGCACACTGCGCTTTTTGAAGGAGGGTCTTTGTAGAAATCGACGCATTTTAGAAAGAATGTGCAGCAAATTAGGAGTTTATTGAGGCAAAAGTCATAGTTAATAGTTAGTTAACAGTAAGAATTGGACCTTAAAGTGTCTTATGTTCACCAAGGAAAGTTAATAGTGAATATGTCTTCCCTAATCTAAAATTTTACCATATGGTGTTCCACTGCATATGATACACTGTATTAGACAGTCATAAATATGAAAATTATTCCTGAGAACGTAGACCAGTGAAACTACTGTATATAGGATATATAGGCATTTCTACACATTCTACAAAGGCATTTCCTCAGCTGGCAACCCTAGCAGGACATCAGTGAGATTGTGTGCGCCCCAGAATGACTGTCCCATCTGCACTGTCAGGATCACATACTGTTGGCCTTGTCATTGCCCGCCTGATGTGTTCTGTCAAAAGAGAGCAATCTACACAATACTACACAATATTTTTGTCAGTCACGATAGTCACTGTGTCAGATTACACGATTTTGACTCCTAAAATCTTGTCGTGTCGTGGACAAGAAACATGTCAGACTACACGTTGCTTCCCGACCATTCATCGCGTGCCGTCTTTAACGACGCACGTGATGTCATCGAGAAGGCGGAACTAGCGACTGACTTCCGAAAACAAGAGTGTAAACATTGCTGAAGCGCTTCCGCTATAGTTCGCCAGCATTTTTCTTTCTTTGTTCTGTCGTGGTAGTCCCTCGATGACACATCATACAGGCAGGAGTACTGTTGCCACAGCTCCACGAACCTTTCCTCCATCTCATAATTCCACCTAGCAGCACCATCATCTCTCTTTCGTTTTGCCATGTTTGAAACCTGTGTATGAAAGAGCTTCTGTGCTGCTATTGGTCAACGTCACCAATGTGACAGAACTCGTCGTGGACGACAGAAAAAAAATTAAACATGCTAATCTTTCTGTCGGGATGTTGTGAAGCATCGCAGACGCGGAATCGGTTGTCATCCATTATGACACACTACACGTGCTGAAATGATGGAATCTTGCGTCCCGACGCCCATTGTCGTTTACGAATCCCCACGACACCCTACGTCAAGCAAATTGTGGCAAAATCGGGCTAAAATCGTGTAGTCTGAACCGGGCATAAGACGTGCTCTAGACTGAGACATCACATCTGTTGGTGTGAGTATTTGTGTAAAATAGAGGTAGGCGGTGTGTGTGTGTGTGTGTGTGTGTGTGTCAGAAGGTGACAACGATTCACCTTCAGCGTCCTTTAATCATCACAAGCCTCAACTTCAGTCAGCGAGGCAGAACACACAAATATGCACTCTAGCTGACAAACCGCTAGCTGTCTCATTCTTAGCTGACAACGGAGGCCACTTTCTGCCAGAACTGCGTTTTCCTGTAACCTTGTGGAAATGACTCAAACACACAGTGCTGGTTAGCTCAGGAGCAAAGAGGGTTGCAGCAGCATCTGAAGGCTCGGATAAGAATATTAGACGACTTTTAGCATTAGTGGAGCTGTGGGGGTGGGGTTAGGCTAGTGTGTGTGTATGTGAGGGAATAACAGGACACAACATAATATATAAAGAACTGTAGTACTACACCCTTCTCTTTGTGTTTGGCCTTGATATTATAATGCTATTGAGCCAGTGTGACCCAGTTTTCCACACTAATCCATCATGAACTGATAAAGTAACCCCAGTGCTACTGCTCTCTCAGAGTATTCCAATAATAACTCCCTGTATTCCAATGGCAACATATCTTTTTCAGTCTAATGCTATTTGCTATTATTGCCTTTCTGACATAACATTAATGAAATGAATGTATTAAATCAATAGGTGATCGTAGGCACAAAAGAGGAAGTTATTAGATTTTCATGAAAGATTACAAAGGCAAAGATCTGTTTTCTGTGGAATAATATCTGGATTCATGCTCAATATGACCAGGGATGTGTATTCAGACAGTAGAGAGGGACTATTCTGATTCCATGTTGACTTTCCCACAGCACAGATCTGTATGATTTTAATTTGTAAAGAAACACTGAAGGACTACAACCGCTGTCTGATTCATTAAGCATGTAAACTCACATCCCCGTAGTAATCCTTATTTAGCAACTTGTTAGCAATTTACACTACCGTTCAAAAGTTTGGGGTCAGCAAGATTTTCTAAAAGAAGTCTCTTAGAATGTGCATTGTTCTGGATCAGTTTTTGAAAGGATCCCGATTTG